TACACTATCCACATAGTTTTTGTGGTTGCAACTTCTGTGATAACATCAACAGACTGGAGAAGTGGGTAGGAATCAGAGATATGGCTTTAAACTGGTTCAGGTCCCATCTATCTAATAGATGTTTTCTGTGTCGCTGGCTTTCCCAGTCTCATCCTCCAATAACTCACCCTACGGTGTCCCCCAAGGCTCAATTCTGAGTCCGATTTTATTTTCCATTTATATGCTCCCACTCAGCGACATCTGTAAATTCAATGTTAATTTTCACTGCTACGCCCATGACACACAACTTTACCTACCAGTCAGACCCAGTAATAAGTCCAACATAGCAACCCTCCACAATTGTCTCACAGAAATAAAATACTGGATGTCAGACAACTTCTTACAATCAAATCAGACAAAATTGGAGGTCATCGTACTTGGTCCACCTGCAAAAAGAATCCAAATCAGTGAAAACTTAGGTCAATTAACAAACCACACTAAACCTTCAGCCAAAAATCTGGGAGTAATTTTTGATCAGGATCTGTGTTTTACACCCCAGGCGAAAAAAGTTGTTCAATCATGTTTTTATCATTTGAGTAACATAGCCAAGGTCAAGTCTCTAGTTTCTGGCACAGACTTATACACGTTTTTATTTCCTCCCACCTTGACTACTGCAACTCTCTCTACATCTGTCTCAATCAAAAATCAATCCAGCACCTACAGTTAGTTCAGAACGCTCTAGCTCATCTACTAACCCAGTTCACCAAATGTGCCTATATCACTCCAGCCCTTGCTTCCCTTCACTGGCTGCCTGTTTATTTTAGGATTGATTTTAAAGTTCTTTTAATTACTTTTAGGGCCAGACTTGGGCTGGCTGCTCCTTATATTTCTGAACTTTAACCCCTTATGGGCCAGGATGCAGTCTGAGATCCTCTGGTAGTTCGCTGCTGCCCATTCCAAAGTCTAGGTTAAAAACCAGAGGAGACGGGGCCTTTGCCGTCAGGGCCCCTAAACTTCGAAATAAGCTACCAGAGGAGATTAGACTTGCAGTGTCAGTTCCCCGTTTTATCCAACTTCTTAAGACACACTTTTTATAAAAATGCTTTTATTTTGTGATGTCTTTTAATTTCATTTGCATTTCACTTTGATTTTTTTGTTTGTATTTGATTCATGTGAAGCACTGTTATTTGTATTGAAAATTGATATACAAATAAACTATTATTATTATTATTATCATTATTATTATTATTATAACTCATGCTTTGTGCAGCACATTGTGCTTCCACCTGGAATGAAATGTACTATATAAATAAAACTTTGCTTGCTAGCTTCTCCTCAGTGAGTGGCCAGGTCAGGTCCACTGAAGGCTCATGCTGATAGCTCTAGGTTCAAAAATGTTCTTCACAATACATTAACTTTACACATGGTTCCACTGTGTTCCTGCTATGTTTGGTTGTCATGTTCACATTACTATTGATTCTCTCCAATCAGACACCACCTGACCCACCCCTGGTTTAAATACAGTATTAAAGCACCAATAATCTGAGTCATATTATTCATTATATCTCTGAAATCTACATGAAGGTTTAGAGTCACTACTATGAGATCATGTAAGTATGGCCCAGATAAACACCTACTGGCTGTGTAGTCACTCTGCTCAGTCTGTCATCAGTGGTTCTGACCAGTGTTGATTATTCTTTATTGTTTTTTGGCAACAGTGTGTTGTGGCTTACATGCAAAATAAACACACTGAAGTGATCTGGATTGATATTATTATGGTTCCCAGCTGTTTCAGAGCCACTTCAAAGCTGTGAGGATCTGATAGCCAATTTATGAAATTCACTTGTTTGTCTGACTTGAGATCAGAAAGCAGAGCAAATAAAAATTTAGATTAAATCATCAAAGTTAATACACTTCATTGTGTAAATAGTTCAATTCATTACAATCAACTACACACGCCTGTTCAATGTTAATGTAGTAATTATCGTAAATGTATGTAAGATATTTTACCAAGCAGGAGAAAACATGTTAGGTGTTGTTGGGGAAAACTGCCTGTTTTACCAGAAAAAAATATTGCAAAACGTTTTTCACCTTGAACACACCTCAGGTTTCATTGTTATCAGCTGTGCCCACTTAGCCATCAATTAACACAGCTTTGAGAATCCTTTAAAAGAAGCTCAGGAGGCTCATGAAGACATTGTGCTTGTGGAAGACGGTTGTGCCAGTAGTAGGTAAGCCACAGTTTTTGGCTGGGTTGCTTATTTTTTTATTGTTCATGTTACTTCAATGTTAAGAGGACCAATGTTGTCTGTGCTTTACCTCTATAGTTTCTTGGGAAAAATTGCAGGGCAGACATCCTGAGTTTATCCACCTACTGAACCAAAATGATGTAAGTAGATGACTGATGTTTCTTAAAATGAGTGTAATTAAACTTTATCCTAAAGCAAATGTGTTTGCAGGATGTTCTGGATTTCATGTCTACTGATTGGAAGTATCAGCTGTAGTCCTGTACCAAAAGGTAAGATGATTCCTACCCAACTCAAGACTGTTGGTGTTGCTATTAAATTACTCATTTCTAATGTTCTTCCAGACTATGGATCACAAGCTGCTCCTGCAGCAGCCTCAGAACCTTTAGAGGTGCCACTCCCTTACCACCCTGGTAGCTGGACCAGATGGGTGAGTTCTATCGGCAGCAGCTCCCCTCAACCAAGTCTACCTAACCCAACCTCTGAAACTGGTGCTTCTGCCAGTGCTGACCCTGGAAGTTCCAGCAGCCGCTACTTGCCTGGGGGCAGTGAATTCAACAGTGGGTACCTTAGCTTCAGGGATGAGGCCTATAAAAGCCCTGAGGTCAGTTACTATGGGGTTTATGCAGCCTCTGCCCCTAGTGGATATGGCACTGCAAGTGGCATTTATACTGGTGGTTATGCTAGCTCAGCTAGTGGATATGATGGCAGTGCTCCAAGTGGCAGTTATGCTAGCCCACCTAGTGGATATGATAGCAGTGCACCAAGTGGCACTTATACTGGTGGCTATGCTAGCTCAGCTAGTGGATATGATGGCAGTGCTCCAAGTGGTATTTATGCTAGCCCAGCTAGTGGATATGGTAGCAGTGCACCAAGTGGCATGTATACTGGTGGCTATGCTAGCTCAGACAGTGGATATGCAGGGAGCAGCTCTTATGGGTTTGTTAGCCCTCAAGATGAGGCCAGCTCTGGATCTGCCACCAACACTGGTGCTGGTATTGAGACCCCTGAGCCAGTCTTCAGTGACGTGTCTGACCTGGAGCCAGTCTACTCCTTCAGCTCTCGTTCAAGCTACCAGCGAGGAAGAGAGGTGTTTGCTCAAACCCGATACACCCCAGGAGAGCCTGCTCCCCTTGTCATGCCAGTATCCAGACGCATCAGCAAAACAGCCACTCAAAGTGGCTCTGCTGGAGCTCCAGCTAAAGGTGGCTTCTAGAGATTTTCTGGTAAGGCACAGTTCACTGCATATCTGCTATAATTGCAGCATTTGCTTTCTCTTGACTGACTAATGCCTTTGTCTTTCAGGTCTCCATGATGTCTCACTGCTGCTTAGTTATAACCTGATACCAATAAATTGGTTTTCATCAAATCTTGTCTTGTACATTATCTCCAATGTCTTACACATGACTATTGGGTTTAAGGATGAACATCTAATGCTGCTGACTTGAAGTAGAAGCTGCTGACACATGACAGTCTGGTAGCTTTTGGCATGCGACACCAAAGTTTATAATCTGTCCACTTTAACATTTGCTCTTCTGTTAGTTTGCTAATGGCAGGTTGACTATTATTATTATTATTATTATTATTATTATTATATCATTTATTATTTTAAGAGAAATGTCTGCATGAAAGAGGGTGATCTGATTCTGCTGGGTTATAGAGCATGAGTTGTGCATTTACTGTGCAGGAACAGTCTAACAAAAGTTACTACTGTTAATGGAGGAACCAGTGTTAAGAGCTTGACTTGTATAAGGACTAATGGTTCATTATGTGGCAAACCTCTTCTGCCTGGTGGGTGAAGGCAACTGACATGATGTCCAGCAGAGGGTGCTCCACTACAACCAGAAAATGGTCCTCCAATAAACTCAGGAGGTGCTGTAGGCCATGGCTCAGTCAACATGTTCTGTGCTCATGTATGTGTAAATCAAATGTCAGGTTTGTTTTCCAAAATATCTTGGTGTAGACCTATCCTCTCCATGGCAATTTAATACAACTTCCACTACCCTCCTACAGCACATAATGCTGAGACATGGTCACATGCAGTTGGTTTCATTCACTGAGGACTTGGAGTTTTCTGACTGAGTTATAGCTTTGACAGACTGGATGTGATTGAGACCTAGCTACCAGCAGCACAATCTGCAGATGTGTAATTTGTAAAACAGGGTGGGTTCAGCTGAAGATGGCCACTTTGGTAAATGCCCTGGGAACAATGACATTTTCTGATTTAGTTGGAAAGGTTTTTTTTAAGTGAGCTAGTGTATTTTAAACTAAAGCAAAGACAGCACTTTAAGAATTCAGTGACTACTAAACGTTTTTACCATGACACAATTTTGATTTATTTCATTTTTTTTCCCTCTTCCTGGCAGAAATGGGCTCTCACAGTTTCAGCACTTTACTACAAAGCACTCTGTTCTTTTGTAAGTCTCATAGAACTGAGAAATCATATGTGATTGTTTTGTCAGTATTAGTCATTCATACATACAAAGCGTTAGAGCCATGGGGAACTATCTAAATATAAAAATTAATCAAAGAACCCAAATCCACGGTTTTTTGCAGCTTTCTCATCTTATGACTTAAATAATTTTAATGCTCTGTTTTTTTCCAAATACTATAAAAGGTTTAGACTCGCTAAATTACTATTATGTTTGCAAGTGAAGGCTGTGTGTATTCTACTGCAGTGCTGTGGATGTAGCGTCAGCCAATCCCAAGATCCCAGTATGATGCGTGATGACGTATAATTTCAGCGCCATTTTGAGTTTTAGCCGACGGCGTAACGTGGGCATAACAACACAACATATTCATGGCTTGGCTAAGCTAATGTAGTTCGTATGAAAAACAAGTGCTGTAAGTCATATGCAGTAAAGTCGGTTGTTTGTGTGATGGCGACATGACTGCAGCTATTCTCTCAGCGATAAATACCCTCACGAAACCTCTTGGCGGTAAGTGGATAATATAAATATAACTAACTCAGATAAAAGGTAAGAGTAAATTTCCCGTTAGGTATGGCATGGTATGGGTGGTGTTTGTAAAATTTAATTCTGGCTGCTGTAAACCAACCTTTAATGATAAAAAAAAAAAAAAACAAGTTAAAGTAAGCACTTCATATTCACCCTTTTTTACAGGAGCATACATGTGTTTTCTGTATCAGTCACTGTGTTTAGACAGAGATACCAGTTCCTCACAAATTCACAAAGTGTTTTGTCAGAACAATGACAGGTAGCAACCTAGTAAACCTCTGCTGATCTCTTCTCATTCCTAGACACATTCATGTTCTTTATTATTTTCAACTGCCGAGGTTAACTAGGTTATCCATCCACTTGCTTGATAAGTTATTAAAGGTCCCATATATTATAAAGGTAGATCTCCATGTGTTGTTTGATTATAAAGTAGGTCTAGGTTCTATATTAATACTGTAAAAGTATCAAAGCGCTCAGTCCACAGAGAAATGCACACAGTCTGTATTCAGAAACTGAGCCTTGAAACGAGCTGTCAGGACTTCTGTAACTTTGTGATGTTACAACGAAGCAGTCACTGACTGCTCTCAGCCATGCCCCAAACCCTGCCCACCTTGACCCACCATCTAACCTTGCAGGATTGATTTCTCTGTGTTTACCTGAAATCTGCTATATTTTTATTCAATCACAACAACAGTCAGCCAATCAGAAGAGAGGCTCAGAGCCTCCTCTCTTCTGATTGGCTCACTGTCCTGTTGTTACTAGAGCTCCAGAGAGAAGCATTACTTGTACACAACCTTCTATGTTATATTCTTTGTGTCATTGTCTGCAGAGGCGTCTGTGCGTGATGATCAGTCCTCACAACAAGAGGCTCTGTTGGCCGTGCTGCGGACCAACAGGGCCCTCCTCCTCCAGCAGCTTCAGAGTGAGAGCAGCTTTGAGGAGGTGAGGAGGCTGAGGGAGGAGGTGTTGGTGGAGGCAGAATGGTTCTCCAGCGATACAGAAGATGCCACATGGGGCTTTGTGCAGGAGTGTCTCCTCCTGCTTCTCACCTTAGCACGACGCCTTTCTAATGACCTCGAACTTTTCAAGCAGACCTACGCTCCCTCTGCAGCTAAACAACACACCCCTGAGATGGCTCCACCATTACCTCCTGATGTTCTCAGTGTCACCCAGCAGAAGACGCTCGGAGCAGCTCTTCAGTTTGTGGTCTCTCTGGGGCTCTGTCCCTACTTGGCCCCTGGAGTGGGTGTGCCACTGGGTTGCAGGTCAGCTTTTGGAGCCATGGTGGAAAAACTTGTCCGTGGTGGAGAAGTGTCAGCAGAGGGACGCCGCCTTCTTGTCACCACAAATGTCCTGTTGAAGTTGGCAGAGCTGTCGTCTCTCGCCACGTTGGTGTTCACACAGCATCTGGGGGATGTGATGGCAGCACTGTGCCAGCTCGGCTACCAGCCACACCGGACAGAGAGAGGAGGCTCAGAGGAGGAGAAGGTAACACATCTGGATATGGATTTGTTGTTCCTTTTTTGCAAGGATAAGTCAAGAGAAATAAAACACATCTGTTTTCTTTCTTCTTGAAAACCTTGTAGATGCAGAAACTCAGTGCTGAGGAATGTCGAACTTGCAAGGAGGCCCTCAGAAGTCTTCTAGGAAAAGTCTACCAGCCAATTGTCATCAAGGAGCTGCTGATCCTCCAAGGTGCACCCAGACAGGTATGCATGTACCTGTCTGGCAGGGGGTTATACCAGGGACAGCTGGAATAAGGGGTGATAAGAGTGCATTGTTTTATTTGATATGTATTTGAAATTATAATATTATATTGTTGTTGCCCCGTAGTTAGATATGAAGTGTCCCAAGCCTGAAGCCTTCAAAATAAATAGATGATTTCTGGAAAAAAAAAGGACCATTTCAGATTAACTGAACTCACCTAAATACCAACTGCAACATAAGGAGTTTTATTTATTTATTTTCTTAAGTTCCATCTGGCTGTTGAAATGAAATGATTTTTTTGGCAGCTCGGGGACAGTGCAACAAGCTGTGAGCACAATACTGACCTTATTATCACCTTTGTAAAGTTGATCTGGTGAACATGTTAGCAGCACAGATATGTTATAGCAATATTTATAGCATTCATTTAGACAGGAGTTTCTGACCATCACATATATGCATTCTTATATTTACTCTCATTTTAGCTCTGTTTTTGTTTCCATCATTCAGAGAAAATATATCTTAGCTGTCTCTTTAGCTGCTAAATGCTGAATTATGCCAACTTTGCTAACTGCTGTGTGGTGCTTGACAGGTTGTGTACACTTAGATTATCAGAGCTTTTTTGGTGACAGCAGCTGCTGGAAACAACATTAATGATGAGAGCAATGAGACTGAACCAAAACAATAAAGTTACAGGTTGGAAAAATCAAAACGAGCTGAAAGATGCTGAAACACAGAGTAGAGAGGAACTGCATAATTCTTTTTATCTTCTTTGTTTGTGACTGAATATAAACCTATTGATTTGAAGAGATTTCAAGAATGGCAGTGTTCTCTGTTAAAAGTGCGTTTTCTTGTAAACTGGATTTCCCAGTTTAGTTTATTTGTACTGTCTGTCCTTCCAGTCTGGTGGCTCAAGCAGCAGGGCAGCTCTGGGATCAGCTCCGGCCTGGCTGAGGCGTCTGTGTGGTCAGCTGCTGTCTGAGCGCCTGATGCAGCCGAACGGTGTCCGGGCTGTAGTCAGAGCCATCCTGGAGGGTGGACCAGGTGAGCAGGAGGGGAGGTAAAGACGGCACAGTGGAGGAAGTAGTGAATAGCAGAGTCTGACTGAAACAAGTAGAGACTCAAATATTCACTCACACTTAATGCATTCAATCATAACAACACAAAGCAACACATTAATACCTGATAAGTTGTACTGATTTATTTGTGTCCTCCACACTGTGTTTGCCTCTATTGTATCATTTGCTTAATATCTTGTATTTTACATTTTGAATCTTTTTCTATAATAGAACTTTTGTGTGACGTGTACACTGAGACACTGTCTCTGTCCTGTAGGGGGCGAGTCAGACTGGAGGAAATGTGATGTTGTGGCCAGGATCCTGGTTGCCTGCCCTAAACAGTCTGCCTCAGCAAACAGCTACTACAGACAAATCTGTCCTCAGGTCAGCTCAACAGACACACACACACACACACACACACACTGGAATATGTACTAACTTCAGTCATTTTACATGCCTTTAAGAACATCCTGTCATTTTGAGAGATCATGTTACACAGGTGCAGTTAATTCATCAGATTACTGTAAATCTATATATAAATGCAGCAGGTCAGTTATCATATTTCTCCTCTACCTCCAACCTTATTCTGTCTTAACTTACCTTAACTATATTAATAGGGGAATATGCTGCTTCTTTCTTTTGATTTTGATTGTAGTGTGTGTGTGTGTGTGTGTGTGTGTGTGTGGGGGGGGGGGGGATTTTGGAGAGAGTGAGGGGATACACACACACACACACCCACACACACACACACACACACACACACAAATGAAAAAGAAACAGCTTTTCCTCACAGTGTGAATGTGCCCTAAATACAAATAGTAATAATAGAATTATTCTGAATACAAGGATCATTACTGTGTGCAGAGATCCTTCCTTTCATCCACTGGCTGTGCTGTCACAGCAGCAGTTACCCTGTCTTTGCACGACTCGCGCACAGTAAATGCAAATAAAAGCAGATTAGATATGGTATTTATAACCAAACACACAACACATCTCCAGGAGAAATCTGCTGGTGAAATGAGGTTTCTTTTATCCTCCACCCAAGCTTATCGTTTGATGTTTAAGAAGTCAGCTAAGTGAATAAATTCAACTGTAACCTGGTAACTTAAGTGTGTGTGAACAGCCTTTTTCTCTTTTCAGTCACTCCTTTAATGGTGTAGTTTGGGTGGATCAAACTACACTACACTACACCAAACAACAACACTACTGTGTTTGTAGTTTTAGCGACAGGATAATTCTGGTTTATTACAACCTGGATGTTATTGTTTCCATTCCACTAAGAGGAAGAGGTCAGAAATGGCAGTCAGGTGATCGGACAGTTTGTAAAACAAAAACCTACATCCATCACAGTTTACAGACCCTCCTTCTGATTCAGCTTCAACCTATTGTACTTAAGTAGTTGTGTGCACAGTTTTCCTGTGCAGTGACTCTACATTTTAGATGTGCTCACTTTCAGTTTGACCTCTAGATGAATTGGTTTAGGTCATTCGGATAAACTGTTGGCATGTGTGATTTGTCTAATCAGCTGACTGCTCATGTTTGTCGCTGTGTTCCCAAATCTCAGCAGTTAGTTTGCTCAGTATGATGTTACTACAGAGAAAGTGAAACAGCAAAAATGATCTTTCCAAATAAAATTGTGACTCAATCGCAATATCTGCCACAATAATCGTTTTTTTTTTTTGCATATCGTTCAGCCGTAATTTTTACACGTATTTGTTATTCTTTGTTGTATTTGTTGTTGTTGTTATTCTGTAGATCGTCGACCTCCTGCACTTCAAAGACAAGCTGACAGCCCAGCAGTTCCAGCGTGTGGCCACCAGGACGGCGCTCTCCATGGCGCAGGAGAAGCCCAGCTTTGCTCATCAGTACCTGCTCATTCCTCTGCTCGCACCTCGCTGCACCACTGCCTCCAGTCAGTAAAGTGGCGTCATATCGACATGTGTTAGATGTTAAATTCAAAGTAGATTTCATCAACTTTTTCCAGCTCTTCCTGTGGATCCTGAGATGTGCTGTGGGATGATCATAATTTAATTAAATCTTTAATGTACTTTAAAACACACAGGGAAATGCCCCAATTTGCTGTAATCAGCATATTTTGAGATGCATTTTACTCAGGTGTATCGTCTAAACTCCATGCTGGTTTTCATTTGTTTAAATCACTCTGCAGAAATTTATTATATATGCAATTATGTATTTATTTATTTATTACAAGAAATAATGCACATATTCACATATTTCCATCTGAAAGGCTGTTGAGCTTCCACGTTATGTACAAGGTGTGTTTATATAAATTTCTGTCCAGAGAACAGGCAGTAACTGTTGTGCTGTTTGTTCTGCCAGCGATCATCACCTCGTCACAGAAACAGCAGATAGTTGATAAGTCAGATCTCTGCAGGGCTGAACACCGTGGTGCTTGTGTGTGTTTTCCAGACGCCGGCCATTCCCAAGCTGCAGTGGAGGAGTGGGAGCTGACACGCTGTGTGGAGGATGTGTACAAGGTGAGGACACGCCCAGGCATCCACTAAACACTGCAGTGATGCGCCTCAAATACGCAGTAATGATCACAGCTCATGTCCTCGGTTAGGTCTCAAGGTGGGTTGGTGCACACCTTGAAGAGAATAGGAGAGAATGAAGCCACAATGACAGGACCATATGTGTGGTTGAAGACAGTAACAACCATGAAAATCTAAAGACACTGTTTTTGTAGTGATATAGGACTTGGGCTAATATTTAATATTATCACAATATTTCCCACCATATGCAAAATTTTTCATAATATCTGGATTTATTTATTTTTTGCAGTTTTGCACTCTGCTCTGCTGCCAAGTCTGACCCTCATTCCACTGCTTTGCTTACAGTACATTGAACCTTGGCATGTGACAAATAAAACATGAACTGCTGTTTAGTGGCAGCATCACTTATACCTGAAACAGAAAATATAATAATATGCTTATATATCATAAAAAAACAACAGAAACATGAAATACAAAAAATACAACAATATAAACATATTATAAAAAACCTCTCGCCCCCTGCAAAAAAAAAAAAAAACCAACACAACCCCCGTTATGAAATTCTGGGTATTGCCCAAACCTGTTTGCTAAAATATGCAAGAATCTGCTCTATGTTTATTGCTCTGCATGGGACCAAAACAATAATAAAACTTTAGCTTAATGATATTCATTGGATTTTAAATAAATGCTGTATTGATGCAGATGTTAGTGGTTATTAGGTTTTGGTTTAATATCTGCAGTAACGCTGATGTTCCCTGCTGACACTGTATTTGTCTTATTGTCTCTCATCCATATCATACCTCTCCTCTCAGTGTCTTTTATCTTGTGTCTCTTGTTGCTGTCAGATCTGGGTGGTTGGAAACAGTCCATCAGCTGCTCTACTCAAAGCTCTAGAAGAAGTTCTCCCTGTTATTTTCACACTCTTCTGTTTCACCAAGCAGAATGTCTCCCACCTACGGTAACGTCTTCTCTGTTATTAACTGGGGCTCTCAGAAATAATCACCGCAATACCCTCACTTCCACAAAGTAAATGTAGTGCACCAGTGCTTTAGTCCATTAACTGCAAACCATGTCTTTAATGGTTATTTTTAACCAATCTGTTCACAGTGATTTTCCACATATCAGACAGTCACAAGTGTCACTTCATTTCAGCAGTGTGACACTTCAAACCTGGTTGAAATGTAACTCATCAGTGTGAAGGTTTCCCTGGTCTTTTTTTATTTGGACAAAGTTAAACAAAGTTTTCAGACAGTAAATTGGTGGTTATTAAAAAACCTGGTTCTCTTACGCTGATGGTGTTATGTTGGTGGATAGTGTGTGTACAACACCTATCTACACCTATAGATATTATACATCACAATGCTCTAGGCCCATTTTCATGAGAATGATGCAAGAAAATAATGTTCATATCTATTAATATCTATTTCCAAAAAAGTTACAACCAGTAAATGAGCACTTCGGCTCAGTTTTTTACTGATTCACGCAAATTCCAAATGTAACATTGGGGGAAGAAAAAAATAATTTTGAAAGTATTCTGTTGTGAAAATGATCGATAACTGATAATGCAGATGTATGGAGGGACTGTGAGACGTTTAAAGGCATTCACACATTCTGCTTTGAGACTTGGTTGCTGAGAATCATTACAGCCACAGGCTATACTCTGAGAAATCAAGCCAGAAGGCAAAGATGAGCAAACATTGACATTAAGAAAAATTATATGACGACTAAGTTACATTTCTTCTATTTTAAGGATAAATCTGCTGATATTCTATATTTTTTTTTACTGTCCCTAAATCCCATAAAAACACAAAAACCAACGCTGACATTGATTCTGTTAACGAGAATCGTGTTTATCCAAAGCCTGATACATCTTACTCCTCTGTCTCATAGAGCTCCACTGTTATCAAAAACTATTAAAGGAGCTATTTGTAAGTTTTGTTATTGCTTGTAGCCAACGTTAGCATCTTACCAGTCCTGTCAAGAGCTTGAGCTGTCATTGCATTTACAGGACAAGAGGTTATGATACTTCCTCTGAGCAGCACTACTTCTTCAGGGCAGACTGGACACTACATTGACATGGTCAACAGTCCTAGCTTGAAACTGCATTATCATATCTCACGATACTGATGGAAAATTGAGTGACAGTATATAAATAGATAAGAAAACGGTCTCAATTTCTACCATGTTTGAAGTCTCTACCTGTTGATTTTTGTTGTGGAGTAAAAACTGAAACTGAAACCAAAGGCAGGAAATCATTTTAAAAATGTGTAGTCACCAGAAATGTGAATTATACATGATTCATGGTTAATTCGATTTTAAGTAGGATACTGAAGATGAGCCTTGTGTGTGTGTGTGTGTCCGTCCTGTGTGTCCTGCAGCGCTCCCTGCCAGGACATTTTATTGTGGTACCTGAGCCACACTGAGACACCTACAGCCCTGTCAGCACTGAGGCAACTCTCAGGCCTGCGGGGGCAGAGGGACGAGGCAGCAGAGTTCCACTTCACCCCAGGCAGTGATGGAGGAGCCAGGTTCAGCTCCAGAGAGAGCCTGAGGTGACAGACAAAGAAAAAAACATATTCTCACTAGTGATCTTTTCGTTTGTGAAGGATGCTCACAACAGAAGCATAACGAATAATGCAGAGTTAGGGCAGCTCCTCTGAGATGTCTCGGGCCAATCAGCAACAGTAAAATAACTTAATGTGTCTCATTTCACCTCCATCCCTTTTTATGTTTTGAGCAACTATGACTGTCAGTGTAATTTATGATTTCTTCTTTGTTCTTGTCTCTCAGTGATGAGAGCGATGCTCTGTATGAGAAGCTGTCAGCAGAGCAGTGGAGGCTCCAGTGTCTGATGCAGTTACTGGCTGAACTCAAAGACTCCGACTTGCCAGGAGACTTCTTCCTGGACCTGCTGCAGGTAAGCAGTACATACACACGCACACACCCACACACGCACACACACACACCTGTAAAACATAATTAAAGCCAGTGCATTTAATTTTCCCAGTCTGTTCAGTTTTGCTGAGACTGTTGCAGCGACATTTGTTTAACTCTGTGATAACTTTGAGGTTGTATTGTGTGTGTGGATTCTTTTGTTCAGTGTCTCTGTTGTTTGTTCTGACCCACCCAGTGGAGACAGTAACTTCAGTCGACGCTCCATCACGTCCTTGTTTCTCCTGCAGGAGCTGACCAGCTGGACAGCTGCAGCAGATGAGGTGAAGGATGATGAGGAGGAGCTGGACGTGTCAGCCATGACACTCCTGGAGGTGGAGCAGCAAGTGCTGGGTCGAGCTGCGAGGCAAAGCCAGAGACTGGTTTTACTTCAGCTGCTGGCTGTGATGGTGGAGTCTCTGCAGCATACGGTGCTGCTGAGGAAGACCACGCAGGTGAGCGGGGAGATAAGCTCCCCACAGAAGGAGCAGAAATGCTGAAGTGCAAAATGCATAGTCACGATGCCAGAATCAAAATAATAAAAAAAAAAAAAGACAGACAGACAAAGCAGCCATCTTTATGTCTGCTTTGTCCGTCTGTCTGTTTGTTTGGTTTTTTTCACAACTCTTAACTGGCCGCAGTTGGTCTTTGGTATTTGAACAGTTCACAGTTTCGAAGGACGTTAAGAGTTTGCCATTTAAATCACAAAATCAACAATTGTTGAGGCAATGTAGCTCATCTCATGTGTCACGCTATCCAACTTTAACAGCCCAGATTATCTTTACAGCCAGTTGCTCTTTTCTTATCCACAAACATAAACAGATCTTTTGTTGCACCTTGGTTTTGCTGAACGAGACAAACATCGATCAGGAAAAAGTGCTGCTGACTTTAGTTTGCAGATTAATGAGCTGCTTAGCTGTAGCACAGTGCTAACAAAGCACTGTCCTTTGCTAGTAAATTACAGTTACCTGTTTATGGCCACAGTTCCCCTCAGCTGACCAGCAGTCAGTCACACAGCTACACCAACCCACTTAGAGGTTGGGAGGTAAAATTTCTGATGTATTTCAAAATCATTTGATTTAATAGTAAAAAACTTACAATTTGGCGAGTGTGATTGATATTGTACTTAAAGATGATACTCTATCTTAGCGTAGTGATTGTTCAGTTCAGGCCTGGTATTAACATGCATCTTCAGTGATCAGATCACAAGTGGACGGCTCTGAGTACCTCAGAATACACCTGGATTTAACATCGAGCGACCACTTGTGATCAGATCTCACCTCCCTGCTAAACAGGTATGTGTTGTTGTTTTTAGCCAAGAGAGTCAAGGAGGGACTGAGCCAATCAATGCGCTGCTCTGAGCTCTACAATAAAATAAGGTTTTAGCCAGCCAGAGTAGCTGGTCCTTCAATGTGGCTTTTTGCGTTCACACTGCTAAAAGAATGTGTCCACATGTGGCCCAGAGTCCAGACCCCCTGAGAGTGTGGTCTGAGTGATCGGATATCAAATGTGTCCTCAATGAGTCTTGGGTGGTTCACACCTGAACTTAGAGCTGACCACTAGTGATTAGATCACCTGAGACAGATGTTAATACCAGGTCTGAACAGGGCCTTACTGGACAGACTGGCTGCTGTAGGGATCAAACCCATTAGTAACAGATACTGTGAACAACAAATTCAGCATTTATAGATACAGCAGATTTAACTGCAAATGACTTAATGTTTTGTGTCAGCGGTCACTCATTCATGACTGTAGAAAAACGCTTAGTAACCGCTTGTACTGGCAGTAAAACGTCAGCAAGCCCGCACAGGTGACACAAAACCTAAGCACATATCATAGAGGACTCTGCTTGCTTGTGTAGAACTGTATCACGTGCACTATATCTGTTCTCGTTGTGGCTGTCTGTGTCCCAAATTCATGTATTTTTAAGGATTACGTTTATCTGGGCAGATGCTGCAGGGTAAACTGCACTTTGTTGCGCTTTTATGTTGTGAACCTGCTCAGAGGAAAATCCCCGAAGTGCCGCCTCCACCCTGTGTGAGGTGTTCGCTCATCCCCTTGAGACCGCAACTATCTTTCTCTGGCATATTTTTAAATTAGTCCGTGTTCCTGTGGGAGCTCTTGTAATGAAAACAAGCCACACTGAGTCATGCTGCCACACTAAAATAGCCTATTATTTTTTTTGGGAGGGGTGTTGGCTGACTGGCTAGCTGGCATTTTAGGGCCAACAAACATTCCCTCACGGATTAAGAAACATCTCTGATAAAGTGGATAATGTCTTATTTTTAGATGTGTTACAACTGGATTTCTTTATAAGGACTGAAAAGCTTTGAAAAAGTGTCTGGGTTCTTATTTCCTGATACATTTTATTTGGTTAATCTTTGTCCTTGTACCATTTCCATCATGTTTTTTTTTTTTTTTCTCATGGTGAACACATCAGAATCTCTGTCAGGGTTTTATCTGTGTCCGTGATGCTGTTTGTCCTTTCTCCAGGTGGTGGACTTCATAGTGGCACTGATTCAGAGAGCCTGCGTGGGTCTGGATCAGGTCACTGACCCAAGTCTTGAGAACCCAGTGGAGAGCCAGACGCTGAGCATGGGGATGGGCCTGGTGGCCACTCTGCTGTCTGGACCTCAGGTACTCGCAGCCGAAAACTCCACACACCAACATGTTGCTCAGTAAACTGCGACCACGTTTATACTTTTAGTTTCTGTGGAACGGGAAACTGTTTGAATATTTATGATCGTGAGTGAACTTCATGGAGCCTCATGAATATGTTTTTGAGGTGAATCTAAGTTAAATTCATGCTCACTGGACAACCGTCACATTATTACACCTATACGCTCAGTTGGCAGTTTATTAGGTACACCTGGCTAAAACTACTTTAGCCCAATACAGGAGTCTTTTTCATGACAGTTATATTCAGTTTGTAATGAAACTTTATGGTGTCCACCCCATTTACATCAATGAGGAAAGGCTAAATAACAGAAACACCTGTCTGAATGATGCAGTACAGTCCAACAAAATCACAAACTGCATCATCCAAGATTCAACAGTTCTCTAAAACAAACACTGAACATTATACCCCCGATGAAGGAGGATATTAGTTGAATTAGACTGCATTAGTTTTAGCTAGGTGTTTCTAATAAACCGCTCACTGAGTGTACTCCACTGCAGCAAAGTGAGGAGCTCAACTACTGTCAGGTCAGAACCAGATTTCTGTTTGCTGTTTAAGGCACCATGAGGAGCAAACAGATAAACTGATATTCACCGCAACCCACTGTCTGTGTGTCTGTGTGTGTGTGTGTGTGTGTGAGTCCTAATAAACGTGTTCACTGCATTTCCTTCCCAATGAAACATTTGCACAGTGACTTTTGGAAGCATTTGAACTTAATCCTTGCTTACATCTGTGTTTGTTTGCTAGTGGCGTTTTCTTCTTCCCTGCCTTAGTCGGCTCGTCGCTGCGTTTCTTGGCACCAAATGTTGGACCATTAGCCAAATGCAGACCTAATCCTAGACTACACCTGCTCAAAACTCCACAGGGCTCCTTTTCAAAATACAGTTTTAATCTTGGAGGAATCTGCCTCTACCTTTTAACTCTTTCTAGCCACGTGGATACCTCTTGCTCTTTAATTGTTCTCTCTTGAGTTCACCAACACTCAATATAAGACATAACACAACCAGACTATAGAGAACAGTCAGACTGAACTCAAAGATAATATGAGACAAATCGAAAATTAAGAAATTAAGATTACATTATGAAAATAAGATAATCCTCTGATTAGTTTATTAGACGTTACTCCCAAAACACGCCCATGAATAATTAAGAGACCAAGTGCATCCCCTTTGAACTATGCGCCTGGTGCAGCGACCATTTTTCCCGCTGTTAAAATAGAAAAAATGATATAGACACACACTAAATGCACTTACGACACGCACTTCAGACCATTAAAATATAGCTCATTATGTTTTGCACAGTGTCAATAGTCACATATAAAGCAATTAGCGATTTTTTTTTCTTAAATCTGTGAAAGGTGTTATATCAATACTCACAACTATGATATTTAAATGGACCATGAGGAGTCTCAGAAATCAGTCCTTAAATGTCAGACAGTAGTTACCACTGCAGTCTGAACTGTGACTGGTGGAACCAAGTTCCACAGAGACAGGTTACAGGAGCTGTTATTACTGGTATCTGAGCTCCCTGGATTATACACCTCCAGCAGAGTTGTGCTCCGCTGCTGCCCGTTGCTGCTGAACACACATGTCAAAGGTGGCAGGTGCAGTGGTAACTACTGGCTATCTGAAAGCATCTGAAGTGTAAACCATGTAAGGTGATCAGCACACCCTGCTCTCTCCAACTGTCCTCTCCTCTTTTTAATCTTGCAGCTTAGCGCAGAGGACTACACTTCTATGTCGCGGTTGCTCCCTCCTCTGGAGACTGTGTCTCAGAAGCACAGTGACGTGGTCGTCCAGGAGCTGGCATCCAACCTCAGAACTGTCATCGCCACTCATGGTGCCTACTGGCCTGAAAATCTCACTGCTGCCCCTCAGGCCTCCAGAAAGGCTGAAACAACAGCGAGGAACAACAGCGAGTCCTCTAGGAAAAAGCAAATGATACAAGCTGAGGCAGATGCTGCACAGACTTGTCCACATCCATCTCCCACAGACACTAAGACACCCAGCAACACCCACAGCAGACAGCCAGTGTCCTCTGGAGCGTCTGCAGCAGGAAGAACTCCACACGCCGGAGGGAGGACCTCTGGCACAAGTGTCCCTCGCCCCTCTACTGAGTCCTTTCCTGAGTGGCTGCTGCAGGCGTGTGACCCGGACGTGCCAACCAGAGCGTGCGCCCTGAGGTTCCTGACACAGATGGTACAAAATGAAAACCCAGAGGCTGTCCAGGCCCAGGAGAAAGTGCTCACGGTGGGTGGCTTAGTTATTTACTTGTGTAACTTTTTTTGTTCTTGTTTCAGCATTTAGTCAATTATGAGGCCCTGAAAAATACTGATACAGAAGTATAGAAACCATTCCTCCACAGTATGTAAAAAAATATATGACATTCAGATACTCTGGGTATTTTTCTTCACATTTCAGCTGTAAGTGGATCGTAAATCCTAAGAAACATGTTAGTTAAAACCAGGGCTGGACTGGGACAAAAAATTGGCCCAGGCACTTTTGGCCCAGACCGGCCCCTTCTCAATCGGTTGAACACCATCCACCACACCTCCTTTGCAGTCCCCTTAAATATGCGTACTGGACTACAGCTGTGTTTTTTGTGCCATGGACAAGTGTACCAGTATACTCACTTGCTGTCTACTGCCTGCCTGTTGATCATGTGGCTGTGTTAATGTTATGATATGATGTATGATATAAGCTCTAACAATGCCAAGTAGCTTATGCTGCACTATTTGCCATTGATTGCCTGAGCATCAGCAGTAATGTTAGCTGATGGTGGTCTCGCTTTATGATACCGTCATCTTAATATTATCATCCACTTCAATGGAATTAACGTTACTCAGTCACAATGAAGCCTCTCTTCCTGTTCCTCTGTCTGCTCTCCTCCTTCCACCTGTTGCTGCACGATGGCACCTAAAGATGCCGTAGAAGTTGAGGCTGTTGCGGCCCCCTGAAGCAAACATATGATATGTGGGATTTTGGCACACTCGGCGGCCTCCGTATGCAAATTCTTTATATTGTGGGTTCGCAACTTCTCCGCACCTCCCTTCCATTTTTGCTGCTGCTGTCTGTCCACAGGTGTGTCGCTCTGAGCGGCGTGTGGCACAGGACACAGAGAGGACAGAGAGGGAGGGGTGGGGCCAGCACAGGAGGAGATGTGAATAGGCCAGTCTGGCGTCATAAGGCCGCTACCCCAGTAAAATGGGCCGGTCGTTGATGTTTGTGTATGTGTGTGTTTGTGTGGAGGGGTGTTTTCTTTTTTTAAAATAAATTATAAAAATTAAAATCATATCGGCCCCAAGGTGAGTCGGCCCACTGGGTAAAAAACCCCGGTATGAGAGATTACCAGTCCCGCCCTGGTTAAAACACATATTGGAGCCATTAGCAGGGTCAGATAGCTGCTGTGGAGGCTGCAGCTCCACCTGCTGGCCAGAGTGAAACACAGTTTACCTATTTTAATAATTTCCAAAAAAAAGTAACTACGTTTCTGTTCAAATGTGTGTGGATGTATTAATCCATTGTTGGTCAAATATAAGAAATACGGTAAATTTGAAGGATGAACATACACTCACTGACCTTTTTACTGGGAACACCTGTACACTTGCTTATTCATGAAAATATCCAATCAGTGCACTGCAAAACATCCTGCAGATACAGGTGAGGAGCTTCAGTTCATGTTCACATCAAACATCTGGATGAGGAAAAATGTGACTGCGACATGATTGTTGGTGTCAGACGCTGGTTTGAGTTTTTCTGGAGCTGCTGATCTCCACGACAGTCTCGAGAGTTTTTACTCTGAATGGAGCCAGAAACAAAAAGCTTCCAGTGAGCAGCAGCTCTGTGGAGGAAACACCTTGTTGGTGAGAGAGGTCAGAGGAGAATGGTCAGACCTGTTGGAGCTGACAGAAAGACTACGGTCACTCAGATAACCACTCTTTACAGCTGTGGTGAACAGAAAAGCTTCAGAGTGAACAACACCTCCAACCTACAACAGCAGAAGGTTCCACTTCCTGTCACCAAGACCAGAAACCTGAGGCTGCAGTGGACACAGACTCACCAACACTGGACACTTGAAAATTGGAGAAATGTAATGTCTGGTCTGATGGATCTGGATCACAATTTGTCAACGGCATGACTCCATGGACCCAACCTGCCTTGTGTCAACAGTCCAGGCTGCTGGTGGTGTGATGGTGTAGGGAATGTTTTCTTATCACACTTTGGGCCTTTAATACAAATCAGTCTTGGTCTGAGTGTCACAGTCTGTCAGAGTATTGTTGCTGACCATGTTCATCCCTTCATGGCCACAGTACCATCTGCTAAAGTCTACTTCCAGCAGGATAATGCTCCATGTCACAAAGCTAAAGTCACAAACATGGAGCAGAGTCTCAGAGGAAAGTTTCAACATCTTGAGGAATCTGTGACATGAAGACCTGAGGCTGTTTGAGAGCAAAGAGAGGACCTACCCAGTGTTAGTGTGGTGTTCCTAATAGTGCTCAGTGAGTGAACATCTGTTTCTGTGCTATCACCATAGCTAAAAGTTTAGTGGAGCTGCTAAGCTGAACTAAAAATGAGTCCAAAACCAACAAAGAAATAGGCTTAATGGGAAAAAGGGACACAGCGTCCAGTAGTGACACTGAGGCTACATGTGTTATCTGTTATCACCAGAGGTGCTGGCCTTTTTTTTACTCCCTCGTTACCATTGTGGTGGGTTATTCATCTTCAGTAGGTATTGCCAGCCTCTGCCGGCCAGATGGACGCTCCCTCTGTTAGAATCCTTTTATCTCTTCTGTGCACCGGCACACTGAAGGACCGTGCCAGCAGAGCTCTGGGTCTTTTACACAGGCTGTAGTCTTTGTTTCACTCTCAGGATCATGTACCACAGCTACATGTATTACAAGATGCGATGAGCTGTAACAAGCCAAGAAAGAAATGTAGGGAAGGTAGATTCAAGAATCTGATTTTAGAGAGTTTTTACAAACACTGTACAGACATGAATTTAGGAGAAAGCATTTTCAGCCATTGCTAGTGTGTCTTCTTTTGATCAATGTAGCCATCAGTGCTATACAGACATCGTGAACATTAATTACAAATGCACATTTTACATTAAAAGGTCCCATACTTGACACTTTTCTGGTGATTAATTTGTGGTTTTAAGATACAAAAACTCTCTCAGTGTAGTTTTACATCTCTCTCAGGCTTCTCTCTGGAGCTCTAGTAACAATAGGTCAGTGAGCCAATCAGAAGAGAGAAGGCTCTGAGTCTTTTCTTTTCTGAGTGATCCAATAAAAATATAGCAGATTTCAAGTAAACACTCAGAGAAACCAAAACCTGCAAGGTTGGATGGTGGGTCCATGTGGGCGGGGCTTGGGGCATGGCTGAGAGCGGTGACTGTTTTGTTGCGACATCACAAAGTTACAGAAGTTTTTAAGAAGGTTTTAAGGCTCAGTGTCTGAATATGGGCTGTGTGCATTTCTCTGTGGACTGAGGCTTTGATACTTTCACAGTATTAATATAGAACCTAGACCTGCTTTATAATCAAACAACACATGGACATCTACCTTTAGACTATATGGGACCTTTAATAATTAATTTGAAGGCTGTTAATTGTAAGTAACAAACACTACATAGATATCAAGGTAAATTCCATGATATATCCATGGTGAATTTTGCTGGGTTAAATTACAAGCTGAGTTGCCGTAGTGACCTATCAGACATTGTGCTGGTGTTGCATGTCCTGTACGTGTCCATCAGGACAGTGGAGGTAGTGGTTTTCTCTGGGCCTCCTGGGGCACTCTGAGCAAGCATGTATAATAAATAAGGCGATTGAACCCTCTTCCCCAGGGGAGTCAGGGGTAACAATGGTGTGCTCTGGGGACTTGTTAAGGTGGAATGGGCGAGAAAGAATAACAACTCATCTGGTATTCTCTGTAATCAGAAGCCCCCCACTGTGCACACCTCAGATAACCCTCAACCCACTTCGGTTACAGCAGCACCCTCATTGATTTTTCTCACTTTTGTTTTTTCACGGTTGGTTTGACATCTCCAATATTGTACAGGCCACCTTTCATATGTTCAATCTTCCCGTCTCATACTTCTCCCAAAATTCCAGCCCAACCCCTTGTTTTTACATTCCCCCCATTTTCCCCTCACCCACTCAAACCTATATCTTCAAGGGCCCTTAAAGCACATGGGGGTAATGTTTGGATTATTCCCTTTGATCTTATCACTTTGGTCTTATTGTTTTTAATATATTCCGTGTGCCAGTATTGATCCTTTTTTCTTGTATTGGCAAGATCCATATTTTTATTTGATGTTTTTCTCACAGAACTGGCAGAATATTCCCAGTGAGTAGAGCCAGAGACTAATGTTGCTGCATATCTGTTCTCTCCAGCTCTTTTTAGAAAACCTGGAGCATGAAGACTCGTTCATCTACCTGTCAGCCATTCAAGGTAATATAACGGTACCGTTTGGCCCAATAAGATAGATTTTTGCTATCATCAATCTCCAGAGGTATTCTGTTTCATACACTGATCATATTACCTGCCCAGCTGAAACAGTTGAGTACTCTTGAAGGCAGATAGACTGAGTGTAAACTTTCTGCAGGTCTTGCTGCATTGGCTGATTCCTACCCTGAGAGGATCTTGGAAAGGCTCCTGAAAGACTTTCAGCACGGTCCCTCCCTGCCCACATCCGACAAGGAGCACTCCCTGGAAACCCGCCTCAAACTGGGAGAGGTCCTGATGAGGGCGAGCAGAGCAATGGGTGAGCATCATTTTCTGTTCGTTCACATTCACGTTCGTAAGACCAGACTGGTGAGGACCTTGACTTGACACGCATTTCCTGACCCCTGATCAGGAGAGCTACTGCAGTTGTAGGTAAAACATAAAGGAGGTGGTTTCTTAAGCACAGTAACTTAATGTTATTCTCTGTAATGTCACCTGAGAAGACTTCTATCGACGTGTACATCCGGTCCACCTCACGCACTTTTTCCATCATTTCTCCTGCAAGTCAATCTTCCTCGACATATCGGGGATGTCCAACCAAAGTCATTAGCTTGTCACACAGTCGACTGGCCAATAGAAGCACATTATGGCACACCCACACACCTGATTGTGATTGAACCACAAAGTTTATGAACAACCAAGGACTTGAGCTCTGGCAAATAAGAAAAAAAAAAAAAAAAATGTGCACCAAGATTAAAGCTTGTGGGAGTGTAACTGACAATCTGCAAGCAAAGAGAAATGTGATGTTGACAATATAACTCTCAACTATATTATAAAAATAGCTGCTGAAGAACAGATGCAGCTGAAAGTGGTGCTGCCTGATGCTGTTTACATTTGGCATAAAAACTTCAAATAGTGATTTCAGAGGGATTTTATGTGCTGGCATTATTTCTTGGTAAACATCAGCCAGGTACAAGGATGTTGTTGGGTTTGCTGCCATCGTGACTGTACTGAGAACAAAACAAACACAGACTATCTGGCAACCTGCGCTGTAGCTGTAGATGCTGCACACAAGCGCTGGGTGAATGGATGAACTGTTACAGCATGTAAATCCAACCAAATCCATGAGAATTATCACCAACTCTGCAGTCACACTGTACACAGCTTTTAGTGTCTTTCAGCTCTTTGTTGTGGGTTTCCAGCCTCCGGTTTTACTGTTTTGGTTCAGTCTCACTGATCACATCGACTTTATTTACTTTAAAAGCAGGCAGCTGTTTTTAGTAAAAAATCTCTGTACACTACCTGTCCTGCACCAAACATGAGACAGACAAACATGGCGACGAGCTGGTGAACATGTTGGAGCAATTAGCAATCAGATATACAGAGCTGTGCAAAGGTTTTAGGCACTTCAGATTTTTACATTCTTGTCTATGGTACAACACCATCAAGTAGGGATCTGATCAGTCATCCTGCATGACAACCACAAGAGTTCCTGCAACAGATGATCTGACCTTCACAGAACCCCGATCTCAACATCAAGTTGTTATGAGATTACATGAAGAAACAGAAGACAATGAGACGGCCTAAATCCACAGAAGAACTCTGGCAAATTCTCCCAAGATGCTTGAAACAACTTCCCTGCCAAATTGGTTCTGCTTTAAAGGAGCTATTTGTGCGTTTTCTCTACCACCGAACGTGGTTTCTTCCCGGGAGCAGGCTTTAGTGATTTTTGCTTCACAAGAGCTTCAGCCATCGATGTGTTTACAAGACAAGAGGTTATAATACTCCCTCTGAGCAACACTACGTCTTCAGGGTAGATTGAAGGCTACAGTGAGTCGCTATTGAAAGTGAGGAAATGGGCCGAGGCTAGCTGGTTAGTGTGCTAACTTCAGTAGAAGAAAAATACGTGACAGAGACAAGCGCTAACATTGGTGTTTCTTTCCACCTCTGGAGACAGCTGTTGGTGAGTAAAGGAATGAAGTTTGATGCTAAACTCACAACATTTCTTCTAGACAGGTAATTAAACAGTTGTTAATGCTAACCTTAGCTATGTAACAATAGTAAAACTTACAAATAGCTCCTCTTATAGGCAAAGGGATGTCCCACCAAATATTGATTAGATTCAGGTTTAATCTGTTTGCTGCACTTTGTATGAGGTCAGTTGATCAATGAAATGGCACTCTTTTTGAAAGCATGTCTAAAACCTGCACAGTGCATGTAGTATGTTCATGCCAGGAACACACTGCCTGCATTGCGTGAGCGTGGCGGCTGACGTCTGCTGCAGAGAATCACATGTGATCCTCGTCTCTGCTGCTGAAGCTCTGTCTCTCTACATAGAGTTTGCAGGTTATTGGAATGTTTTCTTTTTTTTCCTTATAAATGAATTTTTTATTTATTTTTGATAGAAATGTCACTAAAATGTGACAGTCTCCACATGCAGCTGCTGAAATGGTTAAAAACTATATTTATATTTTTTCCATGTCTGTCATATTCATATTCAAACTAGACATAGACAACTATAGTGGAAGGAGTCAGATTTATGTAATGTTGCTGAATGATCAATCTGACATCAACAGGTCTTTTCTCAGTCTATTATTACTGGGACACGCGCGGCAGGAATGCATGCACTTAAAACATACACCATGTTGAGTGATTGTAGGCCCCATGTTCAACCCAGCATGCAGTTATTTAATGATGTTTGTGAGAGCAATAAAATCTTGTAGGACATCTAGAGAGAAATATTAATCTCAATAAGCAGCTCCAAATTTGTAATAACTCTAAAAGGACCTGTAGCTATTTATCCATATAATAATATATTTCTTATATAACATATGCCTGGGTTGGAGGATTCAGCAGTGTGATCCTGAAACTATCTGTGGCTAAACCTGACCTTTCACCTGTTGATGTTATTTGGCCAAAAGAACATAATGACAATTTGTGTGAGTGGTAAACGTTGTAAGAATGATAATATATGCTTGTTTATTTATGTGGCCATACTTGCTGACATATATCTGTCTGTGGAGCACAGTTATCAGCATGCAGCAACCACACACACAAAGGCCACAGTGCAGGCTTGTTTTCCATGCAGAGCTCTGTTCAGAAGGGACCCTGTGTATTAGAACTTATCCCTGATAGAAAACCCTATTTGGGTTTTTTTTCCCCCAGTCTCGTTTTATCTGCCAGATTGCCATCGTACCACTTCCCCGGAACAATCGGGGGGTTTATATCCTTGCTGAGAGATTGGATAGAACTTCAGTTTGCTGCACAGACATCCAGAGAGCCTCTGTGTTTGTGTTGAGCCCCCCGAGTGGCAAAGATTTGCCTTTTGCCAGGCTGTCATTTGTAAATAAGAGGGTTTTCTTAATTGACTCGCCTGGTCGAGTAAATGTTGAATAAATTAATGTTTGTCTCGGCTTTGCTTTGCTCCCAGTTGCCTTATTGCACTTGCAGAGAAGCACTTACAGACTCCCTTACTGTGCAACAATGGGCAGAAGATTTACTGAAAGAGAAGAATTCTGCACTGAATGACATTTCCCAGACATAAAGTTTATTTTCATATACAGGAAGGGGCTGTATAGACTAAACACATCAAATTTGGACATCTGTGGAAGTGTTGCATCAGTTTTCCCATGTGTATTTTGTGTGTGTGTGTGTGTGTATGCAGGCTGGTATTCCTGCTGACTCACACTCACTCACAGTGATTCTCTTTCATTAGGTCTATTAGAGCCATGACATGTCTATTGAGACATGAAAATGAATGTTAAGCGTGTATATGTGTGCGTCTCGAGTGTCTGGCTCTATGCGTGTTGTGGGTTTGAATCTTGTGATTGTGAGGAAGTGTTTGGCACTCTAAAAGGTAATCTAGAAAGTGATTTACAGACACACACGGGGGTCAAGCAGGTCTTACTACTACTAGTCAGTCAGCTGGTTGTCTCCTCTCCATGGAGGCGTCTGGCTCTCCTCCCTGCTGCTTGGCAGGAGCAGCTGTAGTTAGCAGTTGGCTCTGTTCTTTGTGTGACTGCCTATGTAACAGTGTCGCCCACAAACACAGCTTGTTAAACTGAATATGACTACACTGTAAACAACAATATCAGTCTTGTGTCAAGATGTGGATTTAAATGGCTGGATTTAACTGAAAGCTTGTTCTTCTGGTATCTGTGCTACTTTCAGAAAATCTCTTCTTGGCAAATCTCAGAGTGCTGCACTGCCCGCCTGCCTTCTGCAGGAATCACCTTGTGTGTCTTGTTTTTTGTCTTTTGAGTATTTTGTCTCTGGGCTGATCTGAGCTGTGTTCTCCCTTTTGAATTTGTCTGTTAAGGATTATTTCTCTGTCTGCAGTTAAATAGGGTTCAACAGGGTTCAACATCTGAAGATGATGGCATCAGAAGAAATTACATAATGCAGGCTCTATATTTATTTTTATTTCATGCCATTTTCAAGTAATTAAATGGATAACACAACAAGATGTGTTAGGATCTGAGTGACTCAGCTCATGTGTCAATGATTGATTGATCATATTGTTTGTTTCAGTGTCAGGACAAAAATAAAACCCTTACAGGAGCGAACAGCCCAGTCAGTGACATACAGATGTGTGAGACACCAGATTATTAAAGTCTAGAGACACTGTAGGGCTGTACTTAGGCACAGCAGTGTTTGAGCTAAATGTAATTGTTAACATGCTGATGTCAAGCGGATAGAAGCTACATCTACACTAATGTGTTTTAGTTTTAAAACGTTTTTGCTATTTTCACTTCTTGCTACGGAGGTTTCGAGCCCCTAAAAGAGAAACTTTTGGAAACGCTGTTGGCCCTGTTTTAGTTTTGACAAGTCTGGATGGACAGAAACTTTGACATTTGGAAACAATGACACAGGCAGCCATGTCCACTTTCTGATTGGGTCTTATCAGTCACAATATATCTTTCCCTGATTCGTCATGCTCCTACCTTGTAACTGTTTTCTGGAAGAAAAGAAACGGCAGCAGCCTCAGTGGTGAAAGCAAGATAGAAAACAAATTACAAGTGTTGCTAACCTTGTTGTCTTTGCTAGCAGCTGTTGTGCTGTCAAATTCTGCATTTTATAAAGTTACAACTGTCATTGCTGTTCTTTGTTTGTAGTATTTTCTGCAACTAAACAACCAACCACAGAGTATCTGCTTCCTGTTACAGCGGCATGCGCATGCCCAGTATTACCTGATTTTGTGATTTGATATCTGTTTTCAGGTGTTATTGTGGATGGAGATTATTTCTGATATGGAGCTAAAACACCCATCTGGACAGAGATTGCTTTTGTTCTAAAACGCTGTTTTAAAATGAACATGGTTGTGGACATAGCCATAATTGTGACCATGCTCACCATATTTGGTTTAGTGTGTTAGCATTCACTAAACACAAAGTAAAGTAGAAATGATAGAAATAAGACCAGAATTAGTTTTGCAGGTATTTAGTCATAAACCAGTTCATCCTGGGGGGAACATGAATGTGTCTACAAAAGATTTCATTGCAGTCCATCCAATAGTTGTTGAGACATTTCACTCAGTACTACAAATGTCAACCTGCTGCTGGTGCGAGAGAAAAAGTCAGGGGTATCACCAAAGTCATCAGGATTCATCCTCTGGGAACCATGAATGTCTGAACCAAACTGCATAACAATCCATTCAGCAGTTGTCAAGACATTTCATTTAAAACCAAACATGAACTTGTGTTAGAGGAAAAGTCAGGTGTTCATCAAAGTCAGTAGGATTCATCCTCTGAGGACCATGAACATTTTTACAAATAGCTGTTGGATTATTGTTGGATTTAACTTTGCTTCAGAAATCATTCAATGAACATTGATCATTGATTAGTATTTGATGTTAACGCCTGACAACACACACTATGACATCTGATAATAATGGCATATTTTTAAAGACATTCTTGCATTTTTGTATCTTCTGTAACATGGTACAACCTTATTTTGCTGATGATACTCTGTTTTTCATAGAGGATGACAGCTGCTGTCAGCCATATTACCCGTATTTAACCTGATAAATAATTAGCTCTGTGTGCATCTTAGTTGCACAACCTGAGAACTCACCAGGTCTCCCTCCCCTCTCTTCCTCCTCCAGGGGAACTGGCGCCCCACCTTGGCTGTCCTTTGGTGGGCGTCTTCCTGCAAGCAACCAGGGATCCAGACCAAAGCGTCAGGGCCAGCAGTCTGTCCAACCTGGGGGAGCTGTGTCAGAGACTGGACTATGCCCTCGGACCTCTGGCTCAAGAGGTGAGAAGCTGCACACTCAATGAAACATGTATGACCTTCTTGCAGCAGCACATAGAAAAACAGCACATATTGGCCAAAGAAACTTGTCCATCATAATCATTTACCAGGACACCTCAAGTATAGTTCCAGTCAGTTGTTGTTCTAAATATGTGCTAATGGAAGCTCATCTTTTGAATTTCCTCTTTGGGGGATCAATAAAGGTACATTTTATCTTATCTGGTTTAATCTGCAAGTAACCATAAGCCCATAAACATCTGTGTGGTGTATATGAAAAATCCAGAGCCTTCAGACTTTTATTGTTGACTGTGCAATTGTCATATTGCTGCCAGTGGTGTTTTCTGAAGTAGCTCCTCTGATAAGGACGTCCCTCTGTGCTTTTTTTTGCTAGTATTTTTGAGTTCACTGAAGGTGACTCTCTCTGCTCCGGCAGACACAACCTCTCAGCTGAGCATTCATATAGAGCATGTTGAGGCAAGATTTCTCTGTCATGATGCTTGTATTGTTTCAAAGTGGAAGCTGGTGGTTGTAAAATGTACACACACACAGCGAATAGCAACTTCTTAATCAAAACTATTTCATTAGAATCAAAAATGAAGTAGCTGCTGGACTAACTACAGCACAGCTCCAGATCCTCATGCGTTTCTTACCTTGAGACCTTGAGATGATTTCCTCACCTGTGTGTGTGTGTGTGTGTGTGTGTGTGTGTGTGTGTGTGCGTGTGTGTGTGTGTGTGTGTGCGTGTGTGTGCGTGTGTGTGCGTGTGCAGCTGAGCTCCTGTCTCATTGCTCTGATAAAGACAGAGAAGCAGGCAGAGGTGAGGAGAGCTGCTGTCCATGTAATTGCCCTGCTGCTTCGAGGCCTCAGCACCAAAACCACCCAGGTATATACACACACACACACACACACACACACACACACACACACACACACACACACACACACACACTGAGTATGCATTAACCCCCACCTATCCCTTTGACCTTCAGGTTAAACTGAATCCATCACTGAGTTTTCTCAGAGTGTTTGTTTTCCCTGTCACATCTACAAAGCACCTGCTCCCCCCTCCCCTCTGTGGTGTCTCACAGCTGGTAATACTCCATCAGGACACGTCAGGAGGTCTCAGAGACTCAGGGGTGGAGCATGAAACACAAAGTATAGCTGAAGATGTTGGGAATTTCATTAACCAAAGTAGAGTACAAAATAAAATTGGAAGCCACATACACTGTTAACTCATATAACTCATATATTCAAACAGCTGATCTACTAAGGCCTCTGCTAATTGCTTAGTGAACCTCCAGTGTATTTAGGTCAGTGATTACAGTGTGTCTGATGGAGAGGTCAGAGCAGTGTGTGGATACATGTTAGTCAGCTTTATACTTGATCATGTTTGTGTTCACTGTCGGTGTATCAACAAAGAGACAGGGCCAAAAGGTCAGAGTGGTTAGTGAGGACCTTCTCTGTCCCTGTGGTTTAAGAGCATCTCCTCTGTCAGAGCGAACAACTGAAAACAGCTGATTATAACTTACAAACTTCTGGAGGCAGTAGGACTCTGTTCTGACCTGCTCAGGTCCTGTAATCTAGTCCCAGTTCACCTGTGGTCATCACTGCGATTATAGATTAATTGTTAGCTTCTCTCCAAGAACAGGAAGGGCATTCGGTCACACTGAGGATCATGAAACAGAGAGAGGACTGAGTCGTTACTGCTGACTTCTTTGCTGTAGTTTTGCTGGGGTCCAGACTGATCACACCACACTTCTTTGGCCTCCTACAATGGACTGCCCCCATTTCCTAATTCACTGATGTGGTTTTGTGCACGTTTGAGGGCTAGTTCATGTATTCCTAACATTGTTAGACACTACTAATGAAGGAAATATGTGCATTGTGCTTGAATTATGAGACTTGTTTGTGAAGGTCCTCAGGGAATTTGATAAATGAATTCTACGAAATCTGCTCTGCACTCATGAAACCCCATTAGACATGGAATGAGGTCTAACAGTTTGAGCCAGAATAAGTCTTGTTTTCTCTTAGGGCTGCACAGTTAGTCAAAATATTATCAAAATCGCAGTATGGCCAAGTGCAATATCCAAATCGCAAGAGCTGCATTTATTTGATAAAGGTAAAATGCGTCACAACACGCCATAAATGAAGCATGGTGGTGCTACAGAGACGCCCCAGGAATAATCATATTCTCCAGATGTAAAGGAACATGTTTGGTTGGTACAAGCCCAACAAAAAATCACATCATCATAGTTTTTATATATTTTTTCAGTGAAAGTGACAGCTCCAACTAAAATCATGACTCATATCACAATCGCAGTATCTGCCAAAATAATCTCCTCGTTCTTTCTTTTTTTTCTTTTTTTTTTTTTTTAAATATTGCTCAGCCCTATTTTCTGTGGTGCATTTTGAAAAATAACAATTGTTTTTTATGATCTGGAGGTGGGTGCATGTGTGAGATTTTGCTCTGGTTCAGTTGACCCATGTCCATCTCTACATGTTCATAATGATGTTTAAAAAAAAAAAAAAAAAAAAGTGTTTAAGTGCAAGGATGTAATTTTAACTAGTTAAGCCAAATAAAACTGAATCATTCAAAGCTTTACTCACTGTCAGGTAGCTGTCAGCAGGAACAGCCCCTCACATGGACACATTTCAGTCCTCTCACAGTGGCACTAAATTCATTTAAATCTAAGATGCAGAGATGTTTGAGTCTTCTCAGTGAATGTAATGATGAGAAAAGATGAATTAACAGCCTGGCTACAGGTTAAATAAAACTAATGAACACAGTCTCTCATCTTTAGATCATGGTCTCATATAAGACCAGTAGCAGTGAAAACATTAAATACATTCACTGTTGCTCCTGTGCTAGCCCAGATGAAACACACCTACATGTGAGCTGCTGGCTGCTTGCTCCAGTGTGATGTGGCTCTTGACCCACTGCCACGACTGCAGTCAGCTGTCCAGCTGCTGGTCCCAGGCCAGGTCTTGTCATTACTGGAACAGCTGGAGCAGGGCAGAACCAGCTGTACAGGGCTAATGACACCCAGAGTGAATGAGAGCAGATGAGAGGGACCGAGCCAGGCAGACCGGAGCACAATGCTGAGGTCAAAGAGAAGAGGAGCGGTGTGATGGTGAAGGTGGTGGTGGAGGTGGAGGAGGTGAATAGATGCAGGAGTCAGGGAGTTCATCGATTTTTTTTTTTTTTTTTTTTGTGGTTCAATGCAGAACTTTTCCTATTGTGGTTATAAGAAGAATTGAATTGGCAACACCTGTGGTTACCGTGGTAACAGCAAGTGTGGTTTAATACCACAGCAAACACTCATTGAGCTGCTTTGTCAGAAATTCAACAAAAGAGCAGCTGATGTGTCTGTTGACAGCACAGCCAAACAAACTCCTCACAGTGTTCTGTTACAGAAGTCAGGCAGTGATCACAAAGATAATCTAGTTTCATGAGTGGTTCTTCACACAACAGCAGGACACAGTGACAGGAGCTGTGACCTGGCTGAGGTGTTGGAGGTGTTGGAGGTGTTGGAGGTGTGCAGCCTGTCACCTGCTGCTCTTTATCCAACAGCTTCCTCCATGACTCCTTGTGATATTTCAAACTGATCCTCTGTCCGAAAATGATCAGAACAACATTATGTTGTTTTGTAGACGTATTTTTTATGAACAGTTAAACTCAGCGCTAACTTCCGTGTTAAATACATTGTATTTCCTGTCACTGCTTTACAATAAAAGCCCCTCTGGGTTTTTATATGTCATCAAAATCTGAAGGATTATAACTTTTAAAATAATTGATAGGAATTGAAATGTTCACTTGTTAAGCGGTTAGTTTTTTTCCAAATTCTATTGTGAAGTGCCCATCACATTTTCCAGAGCTTGAACCTGGGTTAAATCTTTGAGTGGCAGTTCAGGACCCATTGCACATCGTGACGTAGGCAGGCGGCATGTTTTCCCTGACTGATTAAAAGAATTAATCAAATTAACAGTAGTATAGTATATATTATATATATATATATATATATTATAGCATAGATAGTATCAGATGTTTTTTAACTAACTGGTGTACCAACAGCCTTATCTGTCATGGGGGCCCTGTAAGAGTCACCAGATTTGTTTACAAAAACACAATTAAATAAATAATTTATTTCCTTTTTGTTTCCTTCCCCATCTGTACTGAACCAATCTTTGAACCAAAATCAAGTTACATACAGCTTGGCTCTCTTATATTAGAAGTTTTGCCCATCACTTCTATCAGTAATTACCAAGTTTGTTGAGTTGGATGAGAAAACATTGTTAGCATCATCACCTCTGCAGGCCAGTCTGAAGCGTTGTAACCTCTGTCCCTCCTGTGACGTTTCCAGGTTCTCAGTGATGTTCTGTTGGACCTGTACCGGGCTCTGAAGTGGGTGGTGCGCTCAGACCCGGATGACGTTGCAGTGCTGCATGCCCAGCTGGCTCTGGAGGAGCTCGATGATGTAATGAGGAGGTTCATCTTCCCGGAGCAGAAGCTGGAGAAGAAGATTGTCGTGTTGCCGTAGAACTTGAACTTTATGTCTGCGGCGCCTTTGAACTTACAGAAGACTTTATTTTTATATGATCTGCACATACAGTCCTGGCTCTGCCTCCATGTGATGTGGGCTTTGTGGTCAGACAGTCACCAAACAGCAGCGGTTCAGTCGTGTGTGCTGCAGACAGACAGACCAAGTCTTTCCTTAATGAAATATGTCTCATACTGTAACAGTCAACTTCCAAAATAAAAGTTTTAAACATATGTTCTTCTTTTTATACATCATATATAATGAATGTGAATTACTGTTTTGAAATTCCTGCCACTGTCTTACCCAGGATGCACTGCCCAATTCAAACAGCTTATTACTGATCACATATCAGCCAAGCAAGAAAACAGTTCAAGCTCCATATTTGACACTTCTTCTGTGTTTTATTTGAAGTGTTGATCCATAAGAAGAAAATCCAAGTCCTGCAAGGGTGGATGGTTGGTCCAGGTGGGCGTGGCTTGGGGCACAGGTGAGAGCGGTGACTGCTTTTTCAGTGACATCCCAAAGTTCCAGAACTCCTGATGGCTGGTTTTAAGGCTCAGTTTCTGAACACAGGCTGTGTGCATTTCTCTGTGGACTGAGGCTTTGATACTTTCATAGTATTAATATAGAACCTAGACCTGATCTATAATCAAACAACACATGGACATCTACCTTTAGACTATATGGGACCTTTAAGACAACAGTGTTGTCTTAACTATATAAAAGTGGCTCAATTCCAGTTCTAAGGAAACATCTTATTTTGGTGTGTTTCAGGCTTAAAGGAGCACTCCACAGATTTGAAATTTTAAAGTCACCTTGCTAGTCACTGCAAGTGCTATTCAGCCTGGAGACACAGTTGTACCAAGTCCTCTGTCACTCTGGAGGAGCTTTGCCAAGTGTAAGAAAAAAAAAACCTGATGGTGCTTTATGGGAAATGTAGGATCCACCATTTTAGGAGCTTAAAGTGACTAAGTTAGGATATCTCCTCCTCTGCTGCTTCGATGTAGACCCTCTTTTTCAATATCTCTCTAGTGCAGCATGCACTGATGAGTGTACCTTTAATATCTTACATCAACATCCATCAGGCTTCATCCTAGCAGAGGTTTGTGTACTAAAAACCTCTTTCTTTTTCCTGTGAGGTTCCATGTCACACTGAGTAAAGTCTTCCCTTAACTGGACAAACCTGTCACTAATGACTCATCTCTACTTGATGAAAACTACCTGTTGACGAGGAAATGCATGTTTGTGAGATTTGATCATTAGTTTAATCGATGGTCATAACTTCCTGTATAATGCTCCGTGTTTTTATGGGCACGTTACAGGAATGTTATCCAAGAGACTGTGGAGGTTGACGTCCTGCTGTGAGAAATCAGACAATAAAAACACGTATTCAGCAGTGTCTGTGTTTGTGTGAGGGGACATGAGAAAACGCTTCAGCTGAGCAGTGCTGCAATGTGACGGAAACAAAGAGAAGGTAGTTTGATGTGAAGCTGGATGACAAAAAATGTCTTTCTAATGACTGAGAGGAGACAGGCGAGGGGTAATAACAGTTACACTGTAGGTGAAGTTACACTGTGTGTCAGGACCAGCTGAGGACGCTCCCCTGGACAGTGTCCTGCATTAAGACTCAAACTGCTCCCGGATTGATAACATTTTCCAAACTGCGATCGAACTGTAGAAGTTATTTCGAAATACTGCCTTTTAAAAATAAGTACAATTTTTCAGTCCCAAGCCGTATGATGAGTCATGAATTTTAATAATAATATTTAATAATAAACTTTATTTATAGAGCACTTTTCTAGATCCACGTTACAAAGTGCTTTACACAAAGCAGCAGAATTACACATGCAGGTCGTATAAGGCAACAAGCAAATCAGAAATACGGTTAAAATGTATTAGTATTATATTAGAGTCCATTTTTTAGTTCATAATAAAGTAGGAATTGATAAATGTGACAAATTCTCTTAACTCACTGTTGTGCATGTTTAAGAATAACTCTCTACATATGTAAAATGCAAGTCACTGCAAGAGTTAAATGTTAATGCAGAATTTTTTGAACCCCTTGAGTCAACCCATACACAAATTAAATATGTGCAGATGTTGAATTTCCTTATGTGAAATATATTTACCTATAAAATAAAAACATGTAAAATTATACATAAAACCTGTTAGAAATAGGAACAGTTTCATGCATTGACATACATGTCTAGCCCATATGAATATGTATGTTTATGTATGTATTTACATATGTTACATGAATATATATCCATCCCAAAGCCTGTCAAAATATATTGATACATTGATATTATGTACAGCAGGGTCCAAAAGTGGAGACCACTTTCCCAGAATAGGAAGATAGACATTAAAATGAATAAGAAATCAATAAGAAAAGCATAAAGAATTTTTGTGTTTGTTATTTTAATAAACTTGCAAATATAAATTAAATATATATTGTTAACAGATATGCTTGCAACATGTCATACTATATAAAAAGTCATATATATTAAAATACAGTATGTTACAAACTTTTATAGAGAGGATGCATATATGTGATAATAATATATCCCCTTATAGTTAACATATATGGCAACATCACTCTTGATATATACAGTATATATATATATATCATATAGATATGTTACATTTCTGTATGGGTAATTGCAGGTTTTGGGTTGAAGCCATTCTACTTTAGATCTCACAGGTTCACCTGATGTAGTTATTTTGGTTTTCTACACAAACCTTTTTCAGAGCTGCAGTTGCATTTTCACATCTTTGAAAACACTGTGGCAGCAGTGGATTTATCTTTGGCACATATGAACTCTAACATGCAGCAGAAAGTGAGCAATAGCTGGGCTGCTCTATGTAAACAAGGCCAAATGGTTTCCAGCAAAAGGTTTGAACAGAGTCAGGCTTAAGGCTGGCAGACATTCCTTCCTTTGTCTCATCCATTGGGCAATCGGCGAACAGTGTATGAAGCATGACCTTCTCCGGCTCTGCCGCTGTGTGAACGTACAGCGGGCAAACACAAGGAGCTTCAGCCTTCGCAGTCCATGGATATTTTCTCCCACAGGGAGTCACGGTATCACCATGGCGGGCGGGGCCCAGATGCAGGCTCTTTCATCACGGTGGCAGATTTAGGCTTCTGCTCATGCAGCACCGTTGGCTCTCCAGTCACACCTGTGTTTACACTGAAGGTTGTGTTGTGTGTCAGTGAAGCTCCAAATGGCCTGCTGATTTCTAAAGAATAGATTTATTATTTTTCAAGTCATAAAGTTCCTTCTTTGTGTTTCCCCCAAACAGTGTTTCTTATTGAGCTGCAGTGGAGGGGCAGTAATAAAAAAAAGGGGGGGGATTTTATATTAAAAAGACTGTAACTCTCAAACAACTGAAGCCTCATATGAGCTACAGGGAAACTTAAGAACACACTTTGAACAGAATGACGGCTACGGACAACTGTGAACCTGTCCTTTACAGATTTGTAACATAAGTGGTTGCAATTTATTTCCACTTTAATTCTCAACTTATATGGAGCAGAAAGTGTGTTTCTTGTTACTGGATTGAACCTGTTTGAAGTTTTCAGGTGAGTAAAATCTAAATCACAAAGGCCTGAACTGGAGTGAAGTAAAAGAGAGCTGGGAGTTGACTGCAGCGCTTAAAGCGCATACCTTCAGTGGATGCTTACAGTTTATGGTGGAAAGCTTTCGAATTGACTGGACTGTATTTGAGATTGAGGCTTTGTGCAGTTACTTTGGATACAGCAAATGACAGTGATGCTCTGGTGAACCTGTTGTGTTGTTGTGACGATATATGAAGATACTACAAATGGAGAACTAAATCAGTTTTACACAAACACTTTGCAGCTCTGTGGTTGTAGTTTTTTGAATGAGAAGAAACACCAGAACGAGAGGCTTTAAACACAGAGTCACTGATTTTGGTTTAGTGTTTTTAGTGCCGCAGATTCTCCAGATCTTCCTTAAATGAAGCTCAGTGTAAGCTCAATCAGAAAGACTCTTTCACATTCACACTTCTCTCTCGCTCTCTCCCTTCCTCACCCCAATTCTTGTAATCAGCTGACTTAGGTGTTTTCCGTAACCAAGCCGATCTCGTCACGATCTCTACCAGCCAATCGCGTTGTCGCTTTGTCAAACTCTGTTCTCCAACATTACCATAGTGATGGTCCATCGTGATCTGTGAAGCCTTTTAAGCATCATTTATCTCATTGTTTCAGTTTTATCATTTAGTTCAGTCTCATCAGTGTCTCTTACATCAGCTGTCATTAAACCACTGCGCACTACCTCCCCAACACCGAGCAGCAACTAGCAGGTGGACACATGGAACCAGGTATTTATACACCTGAATAAGGTGATAGTTTGTCAGTGTTGTGTTCAGCTTGTTGCGACCAAGTGGCCAAAATCATTGAAGTTACAGCAATTAAATGACGGGTGTTGTAGCCAAAAACACCACCTACTACCACACACCTGAGCTCACTTTGGATGCACAGTATAGATGTGTTTTTTTTTTATACAATTATTTTCTGTGAAAAGAGGCAGTAGATGACTGCAATCCTGCAGCTCAACTTGACACTACTCCTGCCTGCACAGCTCTCATTATAGTGAAGGTGAAGAGAGCGACTGTGCCTCTGACATTGTCTGTTAATAGGATATTGTAGCGTTCTCTGTGTCATACAGGGTTTTACCATCAGCTTTGTCATCTACAATAGTAACAATAAAGAGTTAAAAAATGCTAAATGAAATGCTAATACATACAGTGGATCAGAGATTCAGTATTTTGACCAAGGTCATCCCTGCTTTGACACAGCTGGGCGTCCTGACATCCACAGCAAGAGTGAACTCTGCAGTAATTATGATGAAGAAAGACAAATTCTTTTACATTCCTACGTTTTGAATGAAATCAAACATGAGATAAATTGTGTTACTGTTGGATTTCAGCAACAAACCACTTGAGTAATGTAGCAAACATCAACCATCTGCAATCTCAGGACCCAAAAGCTTTGTGCACATTCACATCCTCAGCCTTGCCTTAGTCTCAAAATATATTTTAACTGCGCAAATTTGAAAGGACTTTTATTGGTTCATAACGGAAAAAAAAACACATTTCTCACGTACCTCTTGTGACATTGAACCGTGCAGGTGAAGTCGTTTTTAGGATATCCATCACAGATTTCTGCCTCCACCCCAACAGGATGG